CTCATTTTTGAAATTGACAGTGATTTCCCGCACTCGTTTGCGAGTAAACGACCCGCGATTGCTAGTGTTTCATGTATTTAACAAAATATACGTTCGAAGCGTTTATCACACCAATGCCAGATAGGAGACCGGAAGTTTCGACGGTCCTTACACTAAGTGCAGTGCACTTACGGCTAACTACTGTAAGCAAGCAACATACGCATACTGTACGGTTAATATTGTGGGGTATTTTTAAGTGTGGCCTATACTTGGAAGCTGTATTAGAAATAATTGTATTGGAAGTTGCACGTCCATGACAATTCAAACATGTCAATTATTCCGTTTTTCAGGCCGAATAAGTGTCGCAGAAATTTGCGAACAAAAGAGTATCCGGACATGCCATTTCGACACAAATTATCTCGATATTTATCGAAATATGTGAAATATCAAGTTGAGCGTGTTTAATGTCAAACTATTATTTTCGGTGAGTTTGTTGACGATGTTAATAGATGGTCTAAAAAAACTACGGCCGTCGTCCCGAGGCTGGGGCTGGTAGCACGCCAGCCGTGGCTCCGTCCACAGCCACCTTTGGGCCTTGGGTGTCCTTGAGCCGGCACAAGCCACCGTTGAGGTTGTACCACACAAACACTTTGCACCCCGGTGTCATTTTACATTCAGCTCAGCAGGATTCAACAGTCGCCAGATTGACCGAAGCCAAGTCGCCGCCAACATAGTGCGTGTTGTCTTCCAAGGTGCCACAGGTGCTTAGGTCATTGGTCGGATTCAGGGCTTGGGTGGACTTGGATTGCGAGGGAAGAGTCAGGTCGGGGATGCTAGCAGCCACGGCCTTGAAGATGTTCAAGCGGCCGTGACCAAAGAGGTTGTTGGGATACTGCGTGTTGGGAATGTCACCGCAGGTCTTGTTGGGTGGAGTTAACGTGTCCGTGTCCACATGCTCGGTCAGGGCCCTGTACACTTGGTCGTACGAGGCGCCTTTGTGGGCAGACAAGTACAAGGCGATGGCTCCAGACACATGAGGCGCGGCCAAGCTCGAGCCAGAGCCCAACGAATAACCATCGTCACTAAAGTGTCCTGCGGTCGGATGTCGGAACCAGGAGCCGAAATGTCGGGTTTGAGGACTTCTAAGAAGGAAGGTCCCAAACTTGAATCGATGGACAAAGCATCGTTGGAGTCAGTGAAGCCGACACCAATCACTTGAGGGGACATGCCAGGATGCTCTGAGCTCGCACAGCCTTTAACGCCATTGTTGCCGTTTGCAAACACGGGAATGATTCCCGCTTCTCTCCACTTTATAATCATATCTTCCCACCTCAAGTCCCGGGCGTATTTTCCAAAGCTGCCGTTGATCACATGAGGGGCTTTGCTGGGGTCACATTTGTTGCCGTCGTTGTTGTGGGGACAAAGCAGGAATTGAGCGCATTCCACCACCTGGAGTTCATTGCACTCGTAGTTGCACCCTTTGCACGCAATCCACTTGGCTTTGGGGGCGACTCCAATACCTTTTGTTCCCCCCATAATGCCCATGACGGGAGTTCCGTGGCCCCACTCGTCGTCGGGTAGCTTATTCGTCTTGTTGTACGGGTCGAACCAACCGTATTCTCTTCGCCAGTTCGACTCCAACGACTCATGGGTATAGCGAACACCAGTGTCGATGTTGGCCACGACAATTCCGTCGCCCTCGATGCCTTTGGCCCACAGCGCCGGCGCTTGGATCTTCTTGATCCCCCATGCGATGTCATCATTCACAGCACTGGCTGGTTTGTCATCGCTTTGGGTTTCACCGAGTGTCATTGTAACTGGCTCGTAAATGGATTCGACTTCCGGCAACGTCGCGAACTTGTAGACGAGATCGGTGGGGGCGTTGTTGATGTACATGGAACATTGGATCCATGTCGTGGCCACTTCCACAGCCTTCGATTCAACTTGGTTGGAAAGGAGCGACTTGACCGACGCCTGAGACTTGGTGGTGTGCTCCTTCAACGAATTAACTAGCGACTCGATGGTTTCGGTGCGAGACGCGCCGCTCTTGAGTCGGCGGCGGTGGGTGGTGAGGGCCTCGTCACAGTGAAATTTCACCACGATATTCGACTGCTCGGCGATTTCCAAGTTGCGATGCACTTGGACCGAGATCTTGTCCGTGGCGGCGGTGATGGCGGTGACGGCGAGGGCAATAAACTGGTACTGAACCATGATGTTGTTGGGTCAATGGAAATTGCAAAATGAGACCAATGACTCTCGATCTGGATGTAGCACTTGACTTGCCTTGCGCAACACGCTGGGAAATATGTATCAGGTCAGCTGTTGTGTGTACTGTCTGTGTACAATATGTATGGCACCGTGATTAAATCGTTAACCTGCAGCAAAAGCCTAGGTCAAGTATACGTAAGCATGATCTGGCTTAACAGTAAAGTGTGCCATTCTGCAAATGATAGATTTTCTCATCCCTAGCTTCAAGCTAGGCCTAATAAAATACTCAGAATCAATATTCCTATTCCCCAATCTGCAAATGAGAGATTCTTTCATTTGCAGGGGCCAATAGAAATCCAGTAAATTGAAATATTTACCATGTCATTGGCTTAAGCCTACAAATATCGAGTATGATTGGCTCTACTGCAAATGAGATTATCTCTCATTTGGAACACTTCCCGTCCGCCGATCCTAGCGGGTTAAGCTTATCAAAATCGTGTACAGTTAATTATTACTGGAATAGAAAAGTTACTATTATTAATAATATAGTAAGCAACAAGATTCTGACGAAATTGCAGTCAATAAACCCCGAAACCCCGAAGTTACTATTATTAATAATAGTAAGCAACAAGCAAGATTCTGACGAAATTGCTGTGAATGTGCGATGACATACCAAATTCACCATATGACTTATGAGCAGCCCTTGAAGTTCAATGTAACGTTGACATGAAGTGGGATGGTCGCCACCACATTGAAGCATGTACACACAGTATTATTGCAAACATCAGTGTTATGGTACTACTGTAGTACTAGTAGAGTACAGTTGTTTCGGGAAACCCCGAAACCCTACACAGCAGCAAGCTGTTGACGCTTCATCCCCAGGAAGAAGTAGCCGTGCAGAGAGTGCATGATTGTGTTCGGACTTGTACACTGTGAGATTGCCGACTCGATGGTGCACGTCGTCGTCTTGCCGCTGGGTGTGCGATCTGCTTTGTCCTGGAAATGTCTTTTCTGTCGTTTGACCCAATCAAATCGTATCAATTTTGAAAGCGCCAATCGAATCGATTTACGAACAACGCGTGGTTTTTGAGGAATTCACGCCAAAATCCAAAATTTCGCTCGAAAGCACAATAGTAAGACGCAACCAAGATTCTGACGGAATTGCCTGTGAATGTGCGATGATATACCAAATTCACCATATGACTTATGAGCAGCCCTTGACGTTCAATGTGCAGGCACAGAATGTTGACATGAAATGGGATGGTGGCAAGCACCGAAAAACGTT